TTTCGAAAAGGCTTTAGGGAGAAGCAAGTACTGCCTTGTGCCTCCCTCTACTTGCCATGGCGTAATGTTGGTAAGTTAGTCAGAGAAATAGGTCTGCTTACTCATAACTGGTGCAGCAGAGGTCTAGGAGACTACCGCTGTTTAAAATATATTTTCACATGATGGAAACAAACAAACAAAAAGGATGGTTTGGGACTAGCTGAACTGTAGGCACCCTAAAAGTGAAACTTCAGAATGTGTGTAGCTCAAGAGTTAGCTACTGGAACGTTTCATAGAATCATAGCAAAGTGAGTGGACAAGAACAGAGCAGAAGGTACACTACATATAAATGTGCAGGTTTTCTGTTACGTTTCTGACATCATAGCATTCTGGTATTTTGTGCTGCTTAGTGTAGGGGTTTTAATTTATACGGGCTTGTAATGATAGGATGAGGGGTAATGGATTCAAACCCTTGGAAGGGGCTGGGTTTAGATTAGATGTGAGGAAGAAGTTCTCCACTCTGAGGATGGTGAGACACTGGAACAGGTTGCCCAGGGAAGCTGTGGATGCTCCGTCACTGGAGGTGTTCAGGACCAGGTTGGACGGGGCCTTGCGCAGCCTTTTCTAGTGGGAGGTGTCCCTGCTCATGGCAAGGTTTTTGGAACTAGACAATCTTTCAAGTCCCTTCCAGCCCAAACCACCGTATGATTCTATGGTAACAATGGCATGGAAGTCCTGAAGGTGCACAGGGTTTTTTTTTCTTCAGTCCTCTTACTCTTGCCCTGCACCTGTAAAAGTAAGTTAGTAATATGCATCAATTTCCTCTCTCCTCTGAGAGTGTAAGAAATTAACTTTATAATTTTGGTGGTTTCTGCAGTTTTGAAGGCTGAACTGCACCATGTCATTGTGCACCTGTACTTCATCACAAGAAAAGACAATCTGGATTGTTTTTAGGAGAGGATATGAAACAAGTCCCCAGTTTTTTATCAGGGTCATTCTTTGGGAATAGAGCTCGTTTCTTGGGCTTCCTTTTTTGCTTTGTTTTGTTTTTGTTTGGTTGGTTTGTTTGTTTGGAGGGGTTTTTTTTCCCTTTATTGAGGCTGGGGAAAAGTCTATAATTCCTTAATGGAACTCAGTTCAGTGAGAAACAAGTTTAAAGGAACAATGTCTGCTTCATTTGGGTCTTGAAATATGTGGTAGGCTTGTCTCAATTTGTGCTTCTCCACTGAAGTATACATCATTGTGCAGCACACAGACAAAACTAAAAGAGAAATATTTTCTTAGGGATCTTATTTATGAAGTTTTTCCCCAATTGCTAATATGTAGTTAGCCATTAATCTCATGTCCTAGAATGAGCAAGCCTTTTTGTAACTAACCTAAATGGCTTCTTTCCTCCTGAAGATTATTTCAATGTGGTTAAGAAGTGGAATACAAAGAGGGAAAAGAATTTATGACATGTGTTACCAGGAAAGTGCATGTGTGGGGAGGTGTGTTTGCAAAGAATGGGAAGGAGGAGGTGGGAATTAAGCAATGAACAACAGTAATCAAAATTTGGGATGTGCTGCACTGCCAGTGTGGTGGTGGGGCGTGGTCAGAGTGTACAAGGTAAGGTAGAACACCTCCTTTTCTTTGCAGTAAGGACTTAGATCAGATTGAGTTAATCATGAAGTAGGTGCCATTCTCCTCCCTGATTAACTATAACTCTTGTTTCTGCTGGTTTCTGCAGTATAAATCTTACCCTCCCAGCTTGCTTTGTTCCTAGTTGGTTTTGTTCTTTACAGCTCATTTACTGATGCTGCAGTTTCCTTTTCTCCTTGTGAGAGCTATATTTGTGAGTGCAAACCCCCTTTTTTTCTTAGACTTTGGTTCTGAAACCCGTGTTTTCTCTCATCATGTTCTTTGCTGTTTATTCTTTTTTTCCTGTTACAGTATCTCATTATGTTTTTATGTACACCACACACAGTTATTGTTGGGAAGGACCAATGTCAGTTCAGTGTGCTTGTGCCAGCTTGATTTACGGTGGTGGCAAATGCTGAAGGAGTTCCTGTAGCAGTGCCTCCAGGGAATACGTTCATGGGCACCACTGTGTAAGGTATTAGTTGAATCAAATGCATGTACATAGTTTACAGTATGTGCTCAAAACACATGCTTTGAAATAGTTTATTTCAAAGCTTCCCCTCAAAGCTGGATTCCCACTACTAGAGATCGTAGGTATTGTTCTGTGGGCTGAATAAGGTTTAAAATGTCATTTTCTTCCTCGAGCTCAATTTTAGCATTTATTTGCTGAGTTATTTTGCAGCAGTTTGCTTTTTGGACCTGCATAAAACCCCAAAAGAAAATGTCTGCCTAATTCTCAGCCATGAGGTGAAGATTAGTTTACACTTGAGTGACGGGAGCAGGAACAGAAAGCCTGATATTCTAGCTACAGTTGTGTTGGAAGCTGGCAGCTGGAACACTGCCCTGTAAATTATTAAACAGTGTTTCTTATTCAAGTTAAACAACTAACTAGGTTTTCATGATATTTATTTTTCCTGGACTCTTACACACAGATTCAGGGAGGTAGGTGTGGCATTGCCAAAAGGAAGGTTTATGAGCTATACAGAGAGACCAAGGCACGCAATGTGTTTTCTCCCCTGCTGTGATTTAAGGAGCCTTTTTCACATAACAGATCGTTTCATTCACTGCTGCTAATCAGAGTTATTATTGTCCTACTGTACAGAGCATTTAATGCTAGTTGATATTACTGTCAAATAAGTGGGCCTGGTCTTTGGGTGTTTCATGTTAAGAAAACAAACAAAAAACCCCACCCACATCGAGCTACAGGAACATAAAATTGCCATTTCATACTGATTTTTCTAGTCCACTGACAGTTTCTGCTAGTGGCCAACGCTGCAAACCCTGGAAGTGGTGATCATGGAACAACCTGATAATGTTTCTCGTACGTTAGTGAAACTTGGCATTTGCTTAGAAACATTAACTTCCTTTTTCCAGTAAAACACTGAAAACAAATCCAGAGCCTTTTTTTTTTTTTAACCTGTCTTATGAGAAAGGAAAGGGAGAGTATTAAACAATCCTAAGTTTTTGTTATTCATGTAGTTATTATTTTTTCCTCTTTAACAAAGGATCAGGGCCTTTGCTAGTTGGCAGTGGTGTTTATGGGCTGGCTATATATGCAGATTGTTGTAGGAATATTCCTTTTATTGGATTGACAATGGCTGCCTCTTCATCATTGTGTGAATGACCACCTCTTTGAGCTCTTCTACTCTTTAAAGGGTCAACAAAAGACAAATCTACCCCTCTGCTAGGTGCTATCCCACTGGGGTTGATTGAACACTCCACTTTTGCTAATCAGCCAGCACTTATTACCATAGTCCTCATCAAAAAAGGCACTGACAGCTTGTCAGTGTTTTGGGGTGACTTGGGTAGACAGAATGGATGCTGTTATTTCTTTGCAGTAAAGTGGCATGGACATACATACACATCAGTACCTGAGCAGAAACTTTGGGAAACTGGAGTCTTGGTGTATCCTGATCTAGGACTCTTGCAGAGCTCTGGGGTTTCCTGGGAAAAGACAACAAGGAGATGGGCAGTGAAGTGTGAGAAGGAAACTCCTGAGGCTGCACTGAATTGTTTCTGAAGGGTCAGTGGGTCTCATCTTTCTGTAATCTGAAGAAGACTGTTCTGCACCAGAGTAAGTGTTAAATATGATTCTAATTTATCCTGACATCTAGCTCACAGGCATTCATTTCATTGAGACTTGCCTTAGTTCTGTCAATATTCAGGTGCTTTGAGGCAGGTGTATACATGGGTCTGTAGAGGAGGACTGACAGAAGAAGGGACATAAGTTCTGGTGTTGGCTGCCTTTTCAGAGTGAGAGAGAGCAAAGTGAGGCAGTGGAAGAAGGTCACTCCAGCAGTTTATTACCAAAGTGATGGAGAGGATAGATAGAAAAGTGGTACAATACAAGGGCTTCATGCTGCTTTTGTAGAGTTCCTTTGTGCTTTCCGACTAATCATAGAATCCTTTAGGTTGGAAGAGACCTCCAAGATGATCAAGTCCAACCCTCAAGCAAACACTACTGAGTCCTCTGCTAAAACAGAATCAGAATCTGTCAGGGTTGGAAGGGACCACAAGGGTCACCCAGTTCCAACCCCTCTGCCATGAGCAGGGACACCTCCCACTAGATCAGGCTGCCCAGAGCCCCATCCAGCCTGGCCTTAAAGACCCCCAGGGATGGGGCCTCAACCACCACCCTGGGCAACCCATTCCAGGGTCTCACCACTCTCATGGTGAAGAACTTCTTCCTCACGTCCAGCCTGAATCTGCCCACTTCCAGCTTTGCCCCATTCCCCCTAGTCCTGTCATTACTCCATACCCTAAAAAGTCCCTCCCCAGCTTTCTTGTAGGCCCCCCTAAGATACTGGAAGGCCACAGTAAGGTCACCTCGGAGCCTTCTCTTCTCCAGACTGAACAGCCCCAACTCTCTCAGTCTGTCCTCACAGCAGAGCTGCTCCAGCCCTCGGATCACTCTGGTGGCCCTTCTCTGGACACGCTCCAGCAGGGGCCTTCATAGCTCATCCTTTGCACGCCTGAATGCAGATGAGTTGATTCCCTGGTGAGATGGCAGTTGATAGTGAGCTGTGCTACAGAGTGTTCTTCCTTCAAGAGATGAGTAAAGCTGACTGTGACTGCAATTGTGAGATTAAACCAGAATAAAGCAGGAAGCAATAGTAGTAGAAGTGTTAAAATCCTCCTTCCTGAAGAGGAGTGGTATCTCCTCTTCCCTGTGCCCAACCCCTGCCTTGTTTACGGTGAAATCTGAGTTGAAATGGGTGTTTGTTATTTGTAATAGTCAATGTGTAGAGCAGCTAAAAGTTTCTGTATTTATCTGTAACCCAGCACTTTAAAAAAAAAAAAAAACAAACAAACTTACAAGTGCTTTTGTAGGTGTTGCTTATAATATTAATAATAATGCTGGTCTTTTGCAATTCAAACATTGTTTTGTGTTTTGCTCCTTCTAGGCAGTGCTGATGAGTAACATCACAGTAAATGAACAATTGATCCACAGTCTACGAGGTATGTGGGGTGGTACCCCTCTACACCTCTCCCACACTGATTTTGTGAGCCCCCCTGTTTTTAAGACTTGCATTTTTCTGATGTCTCCTGGGAATACTGCCTTTCTTCAAGGCACGGTGATGGTGCAGGAGCTGCAGTGACTTAGATCCTGCATCTGCATGGTGCCAGTTCAGTGAAGTACCACACTAACCTGCCTCAGCTGTAGAAGGATTTATCCATGTAGTGCTTGATGTAGGACTCCTGGCCCTTATGATATAAACTGATATGGAATAAAACTAGCTTCTCTGTGTATTGTTAATACACTTATTCTTCATTCTACCTTTTGCAGCATATTCTTGTATTCCTCCCTGAGGTGTTTGGGTTGTACATTTTAGCACAACGGGAATTCACAACTTCCTGTATAAAATAAGAAAACGTAGTCTAAATAATTTGTATTCAAGTTGATGCTTCAAAATTGTTGTTAGCAATTTATTCCTCAGGAAGCCTGGGGAACAGATCCAAAGTTCTATAAATGGGTAAATAGGCTGTGGTGCCACCTTCTGGTGCCCTCACACAGAGCTTTCTGTCAGGAAGAAAACTCTTAATCTCTGGCTTTGAGGAACATAACTGTAAATTTCATATTATTGTGGGAAGCTTTTTAAACTTGTCTTTCGATGACTAATAATCATGAATGCCATTTCATACTATAGTCTAATTAGTGTTTCATAGACATAAAGACTTCCTGGGTTGAAAACAAGTGAGTTTGCAAACAAGTCAGAATAGTCCTTATGAGGAGGTGGTGGTCAGAAATCAATGTTACACTAGTTTTGTTAATATATTAGGCCAAAAGGCTATTGTGTACTTAATCCTGTGTATCTTTGTTAAATAAATTAAAAAATTCTCTTTGCATTTGTGTGCTCAGTGTCATGAGTGTGACAGATGGAGTTAGCATGCTTACTATTGATCTGTTGTTTGATACTTCTATTGTAGTATGTGTGTGTGTGTGTTTTAATGTATATATTTTAATCCTGATTTGGTCAGAGCATTTGAAAGAGTTACAGGCAGAATATGGAAAGCTACAGTTGGATGTTTACTGGCTTCAGAAGAACCAAACTAACCTTCAGAAGAAGTTCTCATATGACCTGTAAGTATGCTCTTTTTAAAAGATGGTATCTAGAGTTGCAGGTGGCATGGTTATAACCTAGAATATTCCTGTGATAGCTATAGCACTGTTAGTAAGTGTGTCAAGTGTTACTTTCTCTTTAAAAATTTACATCTTCTGAAACTGCTTGTGCATTGCCATGCTTGGCACCACAGTATCCACAGGCTTTTTCCCCCCCTCCCCTCGTTTCTCATTGCCATGCTTGGCACCACAGTATCCACAGGCTTCTCCCCTGCTTCCTGATGTTCCTTCCACTGCAGGAGGAGAAAGGTAGCAATGTTCTCATGTAAGAGCAAGAGGAAAGCTGAAACACAGGAAGTTAAGCTCTGAAGAAGTTTAAGAACTAAGATATGGGAATACCCAGTAAGAAGCTGTACTTTGTTGAGCTGCCAGAGGTCTCAGAAAATTTCTAACACAGTTATGGTCGGAGCTGTGTGTTCTGCATTGCAGTTCATACCTAGTCATGTTTTTTGTTGGGATTTCTCACCAAATTATAAGGCATGGATAACGGAAGACAAGGGCTTAGCAGTATCCTTGCACTAAATACACATTTCTGGTATTTCTAGGAAATTCTTCTGGATTCTTTCTGTTCAGTAATGTTCTTGTTCCCTCTGCTTGTCTTCACACCCTGTTGTATCTTCCCTGTGGTGCACAGATAGAGAAAACCAACAGAATTTGCTGTTTGCATGTTCTCATAATCTTCCATCAAGCATGTAATCATTCTAGTGATAGGGATTTTTCCAGCAGCCACTGTGTAGCCAGATTTTGTAGGAAGTATGACCGAAAGCTCAGCATGGTAGTGGAAGAATTTGAATTCTGCAGTCCAGACTTGAAATATCATTTTTCTTTTCCCTTGCTTAAGAATTAAGCATTAGTATTGGTGCTGGTGCTTTTGGGATGCTTACTGATTACCGGTTGGTGTTGCATTCTTTTTTTAGGGCATTATTACTTATTTAATACCGATGACTCATTTAACGATGATGAATACCGATGGATTGTATTAGTGGAGTTCTAATAATTTAGGACTTCTAACAGAAAAGTAGAAGGAAGTTGGAGACTTAGGTTTGTACTAATCTTTTATTAAGCCACACGGTGCTTAAGTGTCTGTTATGGTACTTTTTCCCTCAAAGTCTGTGGTTTACTGTTTGGTTACATGACAGAGCTGGGGCTCTTGGACCTCTGCTGATAGTTGTTTGCTACTTAGAGCGTCTGCTTGCAGGCCGAGATCAGCAACGCCAGGAGGACGTGTAGGCCTAGGTGTGTGCTGCTCAGCAGTGCTCTGTGTGAGAGGTGCATCCTCGAAGCACTGGACTGACACAGGCGTGCAGGGAGGTGATAGAAGGGACGTGGAGTGAGCCTGGCTTCTGAAAACTCGGGTTTATTGCCCATGTCTGGTGAAATGTTTTCAAGGGGAGCTCCACTGAGGAAAGTCAGTTGGAAAGCGTGAAGTGCTGGCAGAGATGAGCACTGGGGAAATTGTGTGACACGTGTTTTGTTACCTCTTGTAGCACTGCAGGCTGGTGAAATGCTAAGAAAGGGCATTAAATTCTGCTAGCAGTAACCTATGTTTGTTTTTTATTTCAGCTAGTACCTTCCTGTTTTGTCTTCCTAGCTAAAATCCAAACATGCATTTCTGTTACCATACTAGAAATGCTTGATGGACCCAGATTGATTTTGATTTAACTGAAATTGACTGACTGGTTAACAGAAAACAAGAAAATCCATGTAGCTTTTTGTGCTGGTCCAACAAATGCAATATAACTTAATTTCTTACAGTAGAACTTTGAGTGCCTGCACCACAAGTTTGTCCGTAGGTCTTAAGTTAACACTTCATTTTTTCCTACTGACTTCTCAAATTTGAGCAAAGATAACAGCTGAAAAAGTAATAAAATGAAAAATAAAAAGGGGAGGGGAATAGTTTCACAAAAGAACATTTTAGAAGAGCATGGATGAAAGTTGACAACTGCTAAGTCATTCATGTTTCCTCCAGGTCACAGTGCATCAACCAGATGAAGGAATTAAAAGAACAATGTGAAGAAAGGATAGATGAACTTACAAGAAAGGGTAGCGATCAACCACAAATCAAAGAAAGCAAAGACTTCTCAGAAGATCAAAAAATAAATAGTCAGGTATAGTTTGTGTGATTTTAAAAAAATCTTTATCTTTGTAATCCTTAAGGGTTTTTCCACCTTTCTGCTATCTCTAGCCAACATTAGCCCATGCCATTAGGTTCTGCATGGCTTCCTTCACATTTCTTCAGTGTTTCTGACCTGTGGGAATGGAGTGATTGCTGCAGGAGACTCCAGATCCCTGTGTCTCTGAGATGGGCAGGACCTGGTGATGCTGGGAGTGGTGTGCAGCCCATTAAAGAATATTTAATTGAATTACTGAATATTATTGAATATGGTAGTGCAGTCCAAGGGTCTTTGAGGTCCATCAGTTACGTGTTTTCACAGAAATCCTAGTCTCTGCCTTTTACTGTGGGACTGAGGGGAGATCAGGTGTCTCAGGTGTCTGCGTCCGGATGCTCCTGGTCCGCCGGAGAAGGCGTTGCTGCATGTGACACGAGGAGTTCCATGGGGGGTGGGCAGGTCTGGCACACAGCGTGCCCACCTGCCAGCTGGCTCATGCCTCCTGAGGGTCAGAGCACATGAGGGAATCCTGAGGAAACGAAATTTCAGGTCACCCTGTTGTCCTGGTGTGTGAATTATTGATGCTTCCTCAGTGAAGCAGGATTTGGCTAGGGATAGGACTTGGCTGGTTCAGCCTGAGGATTTGATGAGTTAGGAACTGGAAAGGGTAAAGCAATGAGGACTGAAGCTGCATTTTGCAAATAGCTGGAAATGGGTGGGAGAAAATGGCTGGGACATGTGCCCAGAGATCACTAGGTGCTCAGGCAATGGCTCCGGTCTTTATCCAGTCCTTTATGTAAACTGGTGGGAGAGACAACTGCTGACGTTTGTGACCTTTTATCCTGGGCACCTGCATTGTGTGAGAGGTGCAAGATTAAATAAAAAGCCCATCATTTGGAGAGGATACATTTGTTTGCCAAACAAATACATATCTTGTTTAATGTCAAGATGTAAAATACTAACTAGTTGAAAAGCTCACGTGGGGAAGACCCATACTAGAGAGGTGGTCAACTTAAATTTCTGGTGTGGCTTTACAGTAGACTTTCGCTACAGTTCCTTGCACCAGGTGTTGTGGGAGCTTGTTTGGTTTCGTTTGGTTTGGTTTGATCTGGGTGTTTTTTGTGGGAGTTTGTTGTTGGTTGGTTTGTTTTCAGTTTGAAAGGGAAATGATGCCAGAAGGAACCTGAGGGGTTTGGCTGAAGCCCTGCTGCAGGACAATTTCAGTCTCCTGCAACAAGTCCCATAGCTGGAGGCAGTTCTTTAAAGCAGGCAGTACGTTATGCATGGCAGGTTATCTCTTTTCCTTTTAATTTCTAGGTGAGTGAGTCTAGATGAGACAACTACTAATACAGCTACACAGCCTAAATAAATTGTCTTCTTGTGTTCCCTGCTATCTGTGACAGCATTTCTGCTGTTAAGCTGTAACCTTCTCAGTTGTTTCTTTGCCCAAGGATTGCAACTTTTTTTCTTGTACAGTAGCCAAGTTGTTTATTGTTAGTGCAGCGTGACCATGAGGAAATCCATGTGCATTTTTAGCCAGTGCTTTTAGCTGGAAGAATTCCCATTTGTAAGGTGTACACGCTCATGTAATGGAAAGGTCAGAGTTAAAGAAAATAAAGAAAATGGAGTGTTGGTTAATAAATCTACAGCTTTTCTTACAGCTTTGTATTTTAGGGAATTATGTATAATTCTTAGCTGAGGATTTTCCGTGTTCCCATTGTTATATTTTTACACAACCACTTAAAAATATTTCAGCACACACCCTTTAAATTTATTTCACACCATCATTAAAAATTACTGAGCTAGAAATTTATGATAAGTTAAGGGCTTTTGCATGGTTAATTAAGAGGTAATTTCATGCTATTAAGTGCAGGCTCAGTATTTTTACAGAATTCATGCCCAGTATGAAGTGAAAAATGATCTTATGTTCTGTTTCTAGTGATTTCTACTGTAGAGAGCACTCTCAAGAGGCTGAATGATTTATAAAAAACAGAAGGATTTTTAAATACAGTATTTTTGTGTGAATGACAGAAGGAAAATGGAGTTCTTCTGAATATCCTTACTGCAATAACCAAATATTTTGTGGTAATACATGCTTCTCAAGCTTTCATAGTGCTAGATTGTTTGCTGTTGATGTTGAACTTCATGGTGTTGACCCAACAAGGTCTTTAGTTCTGTCTGGCTTTGAATGAGCTTAAACATTTTCAGAACAGCCAAGTAATCATATCCTACACATGCTCTGTAACTTGGGTTCTTGGTTATTTAACCACTTCTTCCTGCAGAATTTTTCCCAAATGACTGCATGAACACTGGGCAACCTAGTGTTTTACTGACTTGCTTAGAACAATCAGTAGCTACAGTCTCATCAACAACTCTAACAGGAAAATTTCCATTGGTTGTGCAAGTCTCTATACCATAGTTTCCTATTCATTTGTAGATATAAAAAAGTTTGTCTCTAAATGTCTGTATGCTTGCTCTTTCTCTGTGTCTTTTGAATTTTTTTTGAACAAAAAAACCCACCAAATTCAAAACCAAAAAAAACCCCCCAACTCAACAAAAAATGCCCCTAGGACACGCAGCTTTGTAACAGCCTGGGATTTTTTTTTTTGTGCCTAAGCTGGTACAGTGCAGCGTGGGCTCTAGGCACATTTCACCCTCCTGTTGAGGTGAACATGGCTCTTGGCCCATTAAATGCGAGTAGGAGTAAAAGTTGCACATAGAATTTTAATTGCTAAACTGGAAGATTGAAGATCAAGGTGGTGTATACCTTCACTTCAGTTAATCTTTACGCAGGTCAGATGCTGAGAGCAGTCTAGTACCGGTATTTAATACAGTCTTAAAGTAAGCTCCCTCACATGAAACAGATACTCTTGTCTACTTGGTTGACTGACATTTTTCTTCTCTTAATCCTGTGTTCAGCATTGTTTTAGACCTGTCCTGTAAAGGTTTGCTTAACTGAAGTCATATTATGCCCAAAATCAGTTTACTTGTCCTTTTAGATTACTGACAGTAATTAATGCCTTCTCTGTTTTTGCTCTGCTGACCCTGACATGGTAACAGGGCAACAGTGGACAAATGTGGTGTTACAGTTCTCTGAACTTCAGAGAACTGTAGGTGGTGTTTTTTGTGAAACACTAGCTAGGAACTGTGACCTCATTGTTGGCTGCAATTTGATAAAAGGTGTGTTAAATTCTCCCAGCGTGTTGTGCTGTTACACACAAACATTGCTGCATATGCACAATTGTATGGTACTTCCATCACCAGTAAAAACTTCAGTCCAAATATTTCTGGGTTTCCCCCTACTGAATTGTTACCTAACCTCCACTGCCCCTCTCAAATCCAGGATTAGCTGTATAGACCAACACTTGTCTGTGTACATTGATTTTTATAGGTCAGTACTCAACCACCAGCCACGAAGCAAACAGAGTTCAAGCACCCTGACCTGGAACGACAGAAACCAAATGAAGATGTACCTAAAGTAGTATCTACAGTAAGAAAGACAGACCTGCTGCAGGCTAAAGGTGAGACAGAAATCATTACCTTACTAGCAACTGGTTAAGAACATTTGCAATTTAATCAAACATTTAAAAAACATTTTTGTACACAAAATTAAGATGGAGAAAGTGAAGCCGGCAGACTGAACTTTAATCAATTTTCCAGCTGTGAAGAAGTGTAGAATCTATTCAAGCATTTTTATTACTAGCATTTCTAATGGTTCAGTTTTGCTGCAAATGACATGCTGCATGTAAAGGAAAACACAAATATTTACAATTCTGAAGTCATAGTCCTCATTTAGTATGGAGAAAGTACCCCCTTTTGGAAGCAGTGATTTTCCTGCTGCCCCTCCCTATGGAGCAGCTGCAAGTTGTTCTTTAAGCAAACACACATCCATGCTTCCCATCTGCTGTCACTGAGCAAAATGCAAGTAAGAGAAATGATACGCAGGAAATCAGATTTGTTAACCTAATGGTTGCTTTTGGCACCAAACTCTCAGAAATTAGTAGTTTGAAAAGATGTACCCTTGTGCATCAGTCTAGCCTAGTACCGTGTGATGGAAATTCAATTTCCTCAATTCAATTTCCTCCTTGATTATTCTCACATGCTGTCTTAAATGATGGTCTTGGGAGCATGCAGGTCTTGTTTCAGAGAGCTAGCAATTGAAGACAACATCTATATATAGGCTATTCAGGCAAATTTTATCATGTTTATAGTTAAAAATGTAGATGCAGATTGGAAAAATGATACGGTAATGACTGCTAAAAGTAGGAGCCCTCCTGCACTCCCTCTTCATATTTAAAAATAAGAACAGCTGTGATCTAACTTGCAAATATGCCCATGTGACTGCTTTGTCCTGATCTATTTTGAACACCGAGTCTGTTTTACTGTTAGTAATGAAAAGTAACATGCAGAAATCTGATGCTTCCAAATCATGCTGCAATTTTTATTTAAACTCCTCTGTTTCACCTGCCCGCTTTATTAACTGCACATACCAAAATTTTAAGTAGGGAGAAGCGTGAGTCAGATGGCAGTAAACAATGTCTCAACCTTTAGCTGTTCCCAGCAGGAAAAACAAGGGTTGTCTTCTTTTTATCTCTAAAACTGATGTGGTTGAAAGATAGTCTTTCAGAGGAGAAAAAAGAATAAGATAAAGCAGTATTTAGTAAAGGCTTTTAGTGTGTTCCACTACTGAAAGGCATTAAGACTTTTACTCAAAATCATTTTTATTGTTTACAGAAAGAATAAATGGCCTAGCTGACATCAGAAAACAGGAGCCTAAGGCAGAAGAGGAGAAGCTTTCCAGTCAGCTGAAAAACCCACAGGATGTACCCAAGGCTGCTGCAGGTCCTAAGGAGCTACTGCCTGAGTCAGAAAAGGAGCTGAACCTATCTGAAGACGAAAACCGTGTAGCGGGGCAAGATGCGTTGCAGCCAGCAGCAGAGCAGGCTGCCAGTGAAGAATTTGAGAGAGAGCAGCTCCTAAATTACGATGCCAAGCAGGACGACTCGCCCGCGGGAAAGGCCGGTTGGTAACATCTCACGTATTGTTGAGCACAGTAAAGAGGTCAGTGTGGAATGAGCCATGATTTCTGCAACACTGGTGGCAGCTGGCTGGACTTAGTATAAAGTTTCAAAAAGGTTAGTGTGAGATGTAAAAGGTTTGTCAGTCCCCAGGGGTCTTCTGCAGTCCATAGGTAAAGGTGGTGGCTTCTGTTTGTGCAGCACAGAGGTACCAGGCTGGGTTCTGCTGCATCACCATAGCAGCCTTCTTGTCTCTCTCCCTATTGGCTGTACTAGGGGAATTAGCCATGAAACTCCTTGGTATTGAGGCTTTGAGTGTGATGCATTTGGAAAGCCTGACACATTAGACACCCAAAGCACTGATAAGTAGAGGGACACAAGATACTGCTGTTGTGCAGATAACCTTTTCATAGTGCCAGTGTGTAAATGCCAGCTATCCCCATTTCAAAACAGGGCAGCATGGATACAACACAGAGACTTCAGGTGTCTGAAGTTGACTGTTGTGAGTCTGCAGAGTTGCAGATGAGGTGTTGTGAAGGTGCCATGCTCCAATATCCACCACACATGACCCTGAACCCTGTGTCTCAGCAGCACTGAGCAGCAGGCTGTTGATGTCCTGTCTAAACCTGACCAGAATCAAGACATCCCTCTGCCTGTCTTGAGGAGCTCGGTCTCGGGTGTACCCCACAGCCCAGAGTAACCAAGAGGAACCCTCATGGCAGTCAGAGCAGGAACTGACACCCACAGAATACACTGTTAATGCTTCTCTTGTAAAAGCATTCACAGGATTTTGAGTAACGATGGTAACACTGCTGGTAACTTGGCAGGGATAACTAATCTTATCTGCATTGTTCAAGTAGCTGTTTTTCCAGCTGCTCCAGAGAGATGCTGGCCAGAGCAAGCTATCCCCAGAGAGGTATGAATACAAGTTACCTAAACTGCTTCCATTTTAATAGAAATAAGTAGCAGAAAGATTAGGTAAAAAAAATCATAGGTTCCTTGTAGCCAAAGGAGCCTAAGGTAGAAAAAGGTATCTTGTGCATTCCCTGAGCATCCTCTTTCTTTCAATAAAAGCGTCTTTTTAAAAGTCTGAGACCTTTCAGTCTGTAACTGTAAAATTCTGTCTGATGTGGTGGTCTGAGCATGGACAACACAAGGTAACACATTCAGAACCAGAGACTCTGATCTCTCTGAACTGGGGTACTGCTTATACCTCTATGCCATTTTTTTCTGTCTAAAAACCAAGGGTATTCGTTTGGCAATCAGAAATGATGTTTCCATTAAACTTCTGAGCTGTCTGTATAAAGAAATCGGAAGATAGTTAAGAAAAGGTGCTTGAGATGAATTAATGACTGGGCGAAGAAAACCTCTTCTGGAAAAGCACTTTTCTGTCATGTTAGCACATCCTAAAATACTCTTCTTTTTACACTGTATTCACAGCTTTCTACGTAGTGGACAAACTAAAACAAGAAGGGGGGAAGCTGAGAAATGTAGGGGTGGTGTTTATACATTTAAAGTCAATGCCGCAGTCACGTTTTCAGCAGTGGCTTCAGGTTTTGCTCTTCCTTAGGCCGTCCTGCAATGTATTCTGGAATTGTTTAATGCTTTTCCTTTCTGTTCACCTGAGTGCTGGCTGAATTTTACTACCCCTTCCAAATCCGAAAAGATTCTGTCTTTTGTCCAGCTCTTTAGAAAATATCTACAGAAAAAGCTGCTCTGAAATGTAACAGTTCAGAAGGAAAATAATATGAAAATCTGCTCTAAAATACCAATTAATTGAGCAGCAAAGTAAATTCTATGGAAGGTGGTTACAACAACTTTTTCTTGTGCAGATGACCTTATGGTTTAGCATAAAATGACTTAATTTTAATGTTCTTCCAGACAAGCAGGAGAATGAAGCACTGAGGCAGGACAAGGATGTCGATTACAGCTTAGACCAGAACGAAGCTGAATCAGAAATGGACAAGCAAGCGGTGCTTGCCGGGGTTGAAAATGGTAAAAAGGAGAAAAGTTTTAACCTAAGTACCACACACACTGAAAATTCTCAGGTGATATCTTGAAGGGTATCCTGTAGCAGATAAAGCCAGCTGATTTCTCTTTGTTCCTTGAGCTTTCCCTCAATGTTGACAGTGTGGCCTGTTTTCTGTATGGCATCAGTGAAGCTACTGTTTAACATGTGGGGAGGGACAGTGTCTGTAGCTGTACTATCATCTATATGATACTTAATAGTCCTTTCAAAATTTCTCCTGCTATGTTCTAAATTAAGAACTATCGATCACTTCTGCCTCTTAAAAGAGATATCTGTACTTCTTTTTTTCCACAATTAGTTCAAAACCCTGAAGATATGAAGAACCACTTATCTGAGCATGGTGAAGAATGACAGAGGTTCATGATGCAGCAGCACCCTCTTCATCTAAAAGCAGCAATAATGAGAGCAAAGTGATCTGTGTTGATTATCTTCCAGGCTTCAGTAAGGACCCACATGAAGTATTTTCTTCAGAAATTTTAGTACTGTTTCAGCGGTGAAAAAAAACAATCTTAAATCTCTGGAGACTTGTTCTAGAGCAGCTTGACCTCTGCAATGACTCTTTTCTTCCTGCAGACTACGAAATTGAAACCAGCTAGCAATAGCTGTAGCAACTTTGAAATTGTCTAACTTACAGTCCTACAGCATATGTGGATTGGTGGTATACTGGAGCATCCTGTGCCAAGACTGGATCCCTCCCCTGAGCAGTGCAGTAGAGGAATCTGCAGCCTAGTTTTAAGAGAAGCTAACTTTTCTGGTCAGAACATGGAAAAAATGAAATATGGCCCTCGCTGCAGTCCACCCTGGTGCCTACTCTGGTACCTTTCCACGGCACTGTAGACTCAGAAAGCATGACTGCAGTCCTCAGATACTATGCAGCACGATACATTCTCTTGGGCCTCCCAGGTGAAATCACTAGCCTATGCTATCTGTAACCAGGCTGAAACACTGCCCTGGTTGTATTCTTAGCTTTTAGGTTTTGGGGGAGAAAAGGATTCAGACAATAGTGTCTTCTCATTAAGGGATTAGCCAGGAAGATTTTTCTGAAAAGCTTTGCTGGACTCCTGTTCACAAGATCAGTACTACAGTATGGGTCAGTCACCACTAACTTGCACAAATTCAGAGTGTAAAAATTCAAACTTCTGAATGTTTCATGACAGAAGCCATCCAATATGGTGTGCCACTATCTTCTACAGATTAGAAAGCCAAATGCTTGCCTTGTAGAATGGCAATCATCTCAGCTGTTCAAAGTGATCTTCTCTGCTGGACTTTTGAAGAAGGTAAACCAGGGTATGCATCTGCCAGACACCTCAATGAAGCCCAGAGGTGAGGCCGTAGTTGTTGTGAAGTCCTGTGTTATGCACAGCGTATTGTGCTGTTAATGTTGTGCAGCCTTTGTCTGTCTGTAACTTGCTGAATGCAAATTACAAACTGGTTTACTTGCCATAACCTAGAAGTAGCCTCTGCCACCACTAAGGCCCCTCAGTGGCGTGTCCAGCCTGCACAGTGTGTCACCAGCTCTTCAGAAGGGCGTATTTGTAT